TATTGTCTGTTGACAGAGTTTTACTATGTAGCTCAGGCTAATCCTCTTGCCTCAGTCTTCCAGCACTGTGTTACCAGACATGTGTTGCCATGAGTAGTCTTTGTGTGGACCGTTTTTGTAGTTAAAAATTGAAGTGAAAGAAGCTGGTTGGAATTCCAGCACTTGAGAGGTAGAGGCAGGTGGATCTCTGAATTAGAGGTCAGCCTGATCTACGTAGAGTTTTCTAGGCCAGCCCAGGCTGCATAGTAAGACCCTGTCTCAAACACAGCCTAGAGAGAAGGATAAACCATTAAGAACATTTGTTGCTCCAGCACCCACAACCATCTGTTACTCCAGTCCTAGGAGATCCTATACCCTCTTCTACCCCTGGGGACAGCACACACAACACATGTGTACACGTATATATATGCAGTCACTCACACACTTAAATAAAAAATAATTTATTTTAAACCAAGGAAATCGACTTGGCAGTTTCTACAGTGTAATGTATTTGAACTCTTGCTTGTGATCATGTTCTCGATCAGTGCTGCTGCTGCTCCTGACTTTGTTTTGTGCTAGTCCATCTCATCTAGTTTTCCTGAGTTCTGCTTAGCTGTGCCATTCCCCCTGTGCTTAATGCTTATTGTGATAAGCGTCGGGACACTTGGGACCGTTGTACTGAGTTACCTGCCTTTTCTGTAGGGCCAGCAGATCTGTGAGTGTGGTGTACACTTTCTTTAACATGTACAACTGTTCCTGTGCCCATCCCTTTAAAGCAATAGCTTGTTTTCTGTTTTGTTTTGTAGAGTATGGTTTTTGAGACCACAACAAAAAATGAAACTGTAGCCCATGAAGATAAGACAAAACTACTTAAGGCTGCATTCCTACAGTACTGCAGGTATAGCACAGTCCTGTTGTTTTAAGACCTGTTTTAGAGCTGGGTGGTGGTGGCTGGTGGTGGCTGACGCCTTTAATCGCAGCACTAGGGAGACAGAAACAGATGGATTTCTGTGAGTTCAAGGACAGCCTAACCTACAGAGCAAATTCCAGGACAGTCTCCAAAGCTACCTGGAGAGTTTCTGTCTCAAAAAAACAACAAACAAAAATAAAGAGTATGAATTAGCCAAGTGGTGGTGGTATGCGACTTTAATCTCAGCACTCAGAAGGCAGAGGTAGGCAGTTCTCTAAATTCAAGGCCAGCCTTGTCTACAAAGTGAGTTTCAGGATAGCTAGGGCTGTTACAGAGAGAAACCTTGTCTCGAAAAACCAAAAGAAATAGATCTATATCTATATATATATCTGTACATCTATGTATAGATATAGATATATTTGTTGGGGGGGTGGCATTCATAGAATCCATAAAAGGGCATCAGATTCCCTAGAGCTGGTTTTACAGGTAATTGTAAGGCTCCTGATATGGGAAATATGAGTGGTGGGAACCCAATCCAGGTCCTCTGCAAGAGCAGCAAGTGCTCCTAAACAGCTAACCCCCCCGCCACCATTCGCAGATGCGCACAGACACACACACACACACACACACACACACACACACACACACACACAGAGTTGCATTGTAAACCAAACTGGTCCTCTTGCATGGGAATTTTAGGCCTGACCGTTATGCTCAGCAGGCATAGCACATTTTAAAATCACAGCTCACCTTATGTGTGGTTTTACTGATGCTTACTGTGCGTTGGTGGGTAGTAAGAGCTAGTTGATTTTCTGAATCTGGCAGTTGCAAGAGGCCCCACCCTACGTAGATTGGGAGCATCAGATCTAACAGCCTCCCCAGGAAGCAGTGACCATTAAAACTAGCAGTCCTAAAGATGGAGGACAAAATGTCTTTTTAACACATCAGAGCAAGTAAGTTGCAGACAGAGTCATATGGGTGCTATGAAAGAAGTAGAGCCTACCCCTTAGCTGAGGTTCAGTGACCACAGAACCTAGTGGTTGCTCAGCCAAGCTCAGATTCTGCAGTTTGGCTGTTGGAGGTCAGGTCAGGTGGCAGTTGGCCAAGTCACAACTGGGCTCTCATTGTGGCCAGATTCCAGTCTGGCTGTGTTGTGCCTGGGCTTCTCATATTTCTCGGGCCTTGGCTGGCCAACTCTTTGCTTCCTGTAGCTTCTGATCGCTGCGTTGACATTTGAGACAGGTAACCATTTGTGGGCATCTGATGACTTGCAGGCTGCAAAGCAGTAGCCCTGGCCTCTTCCCACAGGAAGCCAATGGCCCTTCCCCCTGCTTGTTACAACCACCTTGTCTCCAAACATTGTCAAATGCCCCGAGTCAAACATAACATAGAGCTTTTAAGTATTCTTTTTTTTTTTTTTACCTAGTATTGTTTGGTTTTCATTTTAATTTATTTAGAAAATGCAAATACAAATACAAATGTTTTGTTCTTGACAGTTTGGGAAAAACAACGTCTGTAATTATTGATCAGGTCTTGTCCATGTATCCTTCAGCCTGTTGTAAAGACTATGTTTCCAGCTTCAGCCTGGCTGTTAACGCTTCAAGATCACTTCAGCCATTTTTGTCTTGACCATGTGTCTTTACCTTTAGCAGATGAGTTACCACCTGTCCAGAGAGCCTCTGGACCCTAACTGCACAGCATCCTGTCCACTCCACTGTCTCACTGGCTGTCTGGGTTGTTTGTGGAATGCAGGATTCCTAATGTACTAGAGGCACAGCACCCTTAGAACTGTGAGGGCTAGGTATTGTGGGCATGCAACTGCAGCAGAGGTATCCTAAGTACTGTGGGCGTGAACCTGCAGCAGAGGGGTCCTAGGTACTGTGGGCACATGAACCTGCAGCAGAGGGGTCCTAAGTACTGTGGGCGTGAACCTGCAGCAGAGGGGTCCTAGGTACTGTGGGCACATGAACCTGCAGCAGAGGGGTCCTAGGTACTGTGGGTGTGAACCTGCAGCAGAGGGGTCCTAAGTACTGTGGGCGTGAACCTGCAGCAGAGGGGTCCTAAGTACTGTGGGTGTGAACCTGCAGCAGAGGGGTCCTAGGTACTGTGGGCATGCGCCTGCAGCAGAGGTGTTCTGGGCTCAGGTTCACATTTCCATTTATTATCAGCATGCCTGATGGAACTTACACATTTTCCTTCATCAGCAGAGTTGTTTCACAGTTGAATAGACACTTGTGACCAAGTCTGCCTCTTCCCAGAGCTATGAGGCTTTGGCAGGACGGTCACTGATCTGGCCCTGTTTCTTCCTTTGTGCCTGGTTGAGAAGAATGAAGGATCCAGTTTGCCTAGCGTGTCTTGGTTTTGAAATAAGTATTTTTTTTAAAGCATTTACTGCCTCTGCTGACAAGTTCTCAGGTCCTGACCTGCCCTCCCACTCAGGTGGCGCTGTGTGGCAGCTCATTCCCTGAAGTATATAGTATTAGGATCTAAACTTGTCTGACTGCCTTGCCAATGATCTGCTGCACTCCCTGTCCTGCCCAGGTGGGGGCGCCACTAAACAGTGCACTATGCTTTATGACCTTGTTCTGTTGCATGGTTCAGTCTTCCTAGAAAGATTTGGGTTACTTCGTCTTGCACGTATTTCTCTTCAGTGACAGTCTGTTAAGTGTACATGATAATGCGGCCAGCAACTGGAGTCTATTTTGATTTCTTGTGGCTACCAAAACAAATTACCACAAGCTCTATGGCTTATAGGACTCCTGTCCAACATTACAGAGTCAGTAGGGCCATGCAGCCCCTGGAGGTTCTAGGGGACTTTCATGCCTCTCTCCTTGCTGTTCATCTTAACAGCCGTGGCCACTGCTGGGCTGGCTGGTGCTCCTTCCCTGTTTGCATCTCCACGATGCTCACTCAGCCTCTCCCAGTGTCTGTGCAGTCCTTACACCGCAGTCTGCAGGGCTGGGCCTTTTGACCTGTTCGTTCCTTCTGAGTGTGGGCTACATTACCTTCCTCTTGGCCTCATTCGTACCTGGTTATTTTCTCATGTCGGCCCAGTTTAGAAGAGTCCTCTTTTTTAGGGGCTCACTGTCCTTCAGGCTGTTGCTCTGGTTTTTTCCAAGACTCCTTTTCCCAGAAGACCTGTTTTCCATGTCTGCTGTAGCTTCCTTGCTGACCAGCAGGGCATGCTCAGTGGGTGACCATTCCCACTTTATTCTCCCTACCCCACCCCCCACTCCTGTGGCTTCTTCCCCCAGAGAGCTCTCCCTGCCCTCTGATGGGTTGGCTGCCTTCCCTGTGCTTGGTGGTCTTTTAGTTACTTTTCTCTTTGCTGTGACCAGATAGCTGACAAGAAGCAGCTTAGGAAAGGAAGGGCTTTTGTTGTAGCTTAGCTTTCGGGGATTTTTGTATCATTGGGGAGACACATGGCAGCAGGAGCAGTCAGGAAGCTGCCACAGCCCAATTTCACCTTTTTATTCAGTCTGGCAGTTGAGCCTTTACCTCAAACTAGGAAAATTCAGAGATTTGTCATAAAGGTGATTCTAGACCTCAGGTTAGTAACATAAACCATCGTGGCTGCTGAGTACTGGCCGGTGCATGTGCCTTCACTTGTTCAGTGGTCTGACTCCTGACACTGTGGCCTAGGCTTTACTAGGGCTGGTTTCAGTCTTAGCCGTTATCTAGTGCCTCACCCGTTAGAACGTTCAGTGTATTGATGAATTCACAGCCACACAGCAGCTTTCTTCTATGGAATGAGGTAAGTCTTGGGGCCATTCCTTTGGGCTAAAGCCCATGCATGGATTTTAACCTCACAGTTAACTTTTCTGTGGCAAGTTTGGGACTGTTTGCCTCTGCTGTACTTTGCATTCTCGTTTTCCTGCAGGAAAGACTTGGGCCGTGCTCAGATGATGGCTGATGAGTTCTTTTCCTCTCACACTGACTTGAATTCGGACGCTGAGTTAGACAAGGCTGTGACTCAGATCAGCATGGACCTGGTGGATGACTACCCAGCCTCAGACCCGCGGTGGGCGGAGTCAGTCCCCCAAGGTCAGTTGACTGATGCTTTATGGTGGGAGAGGGGAATGCTGCTTCTGCGCTCCTTGATCACGCGGCGCAATCTTTATTTTCTCAAGCAATTGCAGGTAACCTTCCCTATGGCACATCTGAGAAGGCTAGGACATGGCCCTATTTGTCAATTAGAGGAGCGTCTGAGAGGACATGGAAACACTGAAACAAGTCCTCCTGATTCTCACCATTTCATTTCTGAGAGAACTGGGTGGGTGTGTTAGTCAGGAAGAGAACTGGTAGAATAGGGATCTTTAAAGGGAATTTATTAGAATGGCTTATAGGCAGTGGACTGGCTAGTCCAACAGTGACTGTCTACTGACAGAAAGTCCAAGAAGTCAGTAGTTGTTCAGTCCACGAGATTGGATGCCTCAGAATCCCAAGTAAGCAGGCTCTAACGCCGTGAAGGAGCGCTCTGCCGTTGCGAGCGAGAGCAGGCAGGCAAAGATCAAAGGCGCCTTTCTCCTTGTCCTTAGGCTGCCATGGGAGGGTGTGGGTTTTCTGACTTCAAATGATTTAAAGTGGATCTTCCTTCCTGTCTCAAATGATCCAGTTAAATAAAAATCCCTCACAGTGGCTTGGGTTTTTACTTAATTCTACATGAAGTCAAGAATAGCCATCGCAATGGTGTTGATAGGCATTTGGCACTCACTTGCTTCAAAGTAAACAATTTTGGCATATTCCGTGCATTTGGCTAGTAGGACCTCCCAAGTGTTAGAGAAATCCTTGGTATCCAGAAGTGAATATCTCACATCCGCCTGCCTGTCCCAGGTGACTACCCCTTTAGGCTGCTCTGCATTTCCAGTTACCAGACAGTGTCTCAGGTACAAGTTTCTGCACTAGGGATATAGGGAGTTTCCTTTTTCTTTTCTTTTTTTTTTCTTGGAGCCAAACCATACAGTGGCTAAACCAGGGCATACTTTTTGTTTTGAGTAAGTACAGTATCTGCCTGACTAGGTTTTCCTCTGCATTTAAAAACTCTTTTGAGGCAAGGTCTCCTTTTGTAGTGTAGGGTGTCTCTAGAACTTACCAGGCTAGCCTTGAACTCAGCATTCTCCTGCCTTAATTTACCGAGAAGTGAGATTACAAATGTGAGCCCCCACTGAGTTATAGATCCAATTCTAAGACTCCTTGAGTGCTCTAAATTAATGTTTTAAAGGATTGGTGCTCTGTTCCCTTCAGATCCTCTTAGCTTGTCGCTTTCTAGTAGCTACTGTTCTGAAAATCGCTTTGTGCTTATTCTGTGTGCTGTGTTCTGACAGAGGCCCCAGGATTGAGCAACACATCACTGATAATTCTGCACCAGCTGGAGGACAAGATGAAAGCCCACTGTCTCTTGGTGGACTTCCTTCACCAAGTAAGTGTCAGCATAGGCTAAGGGGTGAGCCTGGCATTGTAGCCCAGTGAGATGCCCTGCCCTCTGGGGTATTTCCTAGGAGGGGCCTGGATTATGCACTGATGCAGAAGGAAGCAGTTCCAGGGCTAGGGCCCACATGTGCATGTCAAAGGACAAATTTCGGGAGTTCTTTCTTTCTGGGGATCACACTCAGGTGTCAGATTTGTTGGCTAGTGCCGTTACCCACTGACCTAGCTCACCAGCCCAAAAACAGCAATTTGTACAATCTTAAACAGCTTTTCTTTTCTGTAAAAACGTAGACGCTGGGTGGTAGTGGCGCACGCCTTTAATCCCAGCACTCGAGGCAGAGTCAGGTAGATCTCTGAGTTTCAGGCCAGCCTGGTCTGCAAGAGCTAGTTCCAGGACAGGCTCCAAAGTTAGAGAGAAACCCTGTGTCGAAAAACAAACAAACAAACAAAATCTTTTGTTCATTGGTTCCGTGTTGTCAGGAGGACCTTGACTAGGTGGAAGGGCTCAAGGAACTATCGTCTTAAGATGTGTGGAGGGCAAAGTCACACTGAAAATCTGTGTGCTGAAAGCTAGTAAAACGTGTGGACATACCTCTTATTAAAACCAGACTACCAGGGTGTGACACACAGCAGGTTGGGGGCCTTGATGGAGTCTCAGCTACCAACAGCTCTAGCT